ATTTACAGCAGCTTAACCCCTTCCGCAGCCTCCGCCTCCCGGCATTTTATCTGGATTGAAATGCGGGGAGGAAGGGGGCGGGCATTCCGATCATGTGAATGCTGTGATCGGCTGATACAACAGTCACATGATTGAAAAGCTCCCAATCGCAAGTATGCAACGGGAGCTTTCTGTTACATGTTAGTTGCTGTGCTGGGATGTATTCTTAACTTGAAAGCATGTATTCTCAATGCAAAGTTCCAAATCTCTAAATTCCTGCTGTGATCTGACTTCCTGTTAGAAGGTGGCTACATTTGTCATCCATGGTTACACTGTGGGGGCAGAAAAAACACAGAAAGGGCTAGTTCACACCAGATGCTGTCCTGTGCGTTTTTTAATTTGCATCAAAAAGGCATGCACAGTGTTTTTCATGTACTTTAATGGCCCTAGTTTACACCAGTGCAGTGTAGTCAACAAAAGTAGACCATGCTGCATTTTTTCTATATGGAATGCATCTGGAACGTGGCAAAATACATGTAAACATACCAGAAACACATCGGATTAAGATGAAGAAATAAAAGGGGGAAAATGTATTTAAAACGAACAGGAATGCATCAAAACCACGAGTAAACATGCATGCAGAAATGCTCCTGGAACATGAAAATGAAAATTACAAGGCCAGTAACCAAATACTGCTCAAACCATTTCTCGCACATGTAAAAATCAGCTTTTTTTTTACCAGAAAAAATTATTTAGAACCCCCAAACATTTTATATTTTCTGAAAGCAAAGGCTTTGGAGAATATAACGGTCATTGTTGCTTTTTTTTTTTATGTCACACGATATTTGCACAGCTGTTTTTCAAACGCAAATTTTCAGAAAAAAAAAAACATTTAACACCTTTCCGCCCGGCCCATAGCAGACTGTCAGCCAGGTGGGAAACTCCTCCTTCTGAGTGGGCGTTATATGACATCCTGTCAGAAGGTGCTGCTTACATGGCCATGGGGCCGCGCAGCAGCGCGATCTGTCACTGGCTGTGTCCACTGACACAACCAGTGACAGATCACTACTTTAGGTCCGTGATATCCGAATGACTAGTATCCTGTAATGTGTTCAATGCACGTGCTTCCCTGCCTGGAAGTTCAGGGAAGCAGCACAGACAGAGAGCTTTATAAATGGCTGCAATTGGAAAGAGAAGGGGTCAACCACTTGCCTACCCAGCACTTCTACCCCCTTCCTGCCCAGGCCACAATTTTCAGCTTTCAGCGTTGTTGCACTTTGAATGACAATTACGCGGTCATGCAACACTGTACCCATATTACATTTTTAGCATTTTTTTCACAAAAATAGAGCTTTCTTTTGGTGATATTTAATCGCCACTGGGGGTTTTATTTTTTGGACTATAAATGAAAAAAGAGCAAAAAATTTGAAAAACAAAAAGGTTTCTTTGTCTCTATTATAAAATTTAGCAAATAGGTAATTTTTCTCCTTCACTGTTGTGCGTTGATGAGGCTGCACTGATGGGCAACACTGATGGGCACTGATAGGCAGGACTGATGAGGTGGCTCTGATGAGGCGGCACTCGTGGGCATTGATGAGGAGGCACTGTTGATGCACTGATATGCAGCAATGATAGGCACTGATGGGTGATACTGACAGCACCGACTGGAGGCACTGACAGATGGCACTGACCAGCGACACTGCTGGGCAGCACTGATGGTCTACACTGCTGGGCCGCTGTGATTGGCCTTTTACCTTATCACGTGATCAGCTGTGTCCGAAAGACACAGCTAATCACCCGATAACGCCAGGTGCTCGCTGCTGGGGGCACACAGGGGGTGGTTCTGTGAAGATGTCCATGGACACCCTCACAAAACTAGACAACCACGCTGTAACCGTCTTTCAGCTATAGCGCGGTTGGGAAGCGGTTAATCATACATATGCATGCTATGGGGTTGGGGTGAAATTTGTGTATACATTGTTTATTGGTGCTATTTGTGCATGGGGGAGCGTTTAAGAGTGCATGTGTGTGCATTTATTCAGGCTTGGTCTGTTGTTTTCTACAAGGCCGAGCTTTTCTGGTATCCTTCTAGTGAAGTAAAGGATAGCTAGTCATAACCAACACCAGAACGTTAGGAAAGTCTATGTTTTAGCCCCCATTTACGTATGCATGTGTCCTCTTTATTAGGTACACCTGTTCAGTTGCTTGGTAACACAAATTGCTAAGTCAGCTGATCACATGGCAGCTCAACTCAATGCATTTAGGTATCCAGACGTGGTGAAGACGACTTGCTGAAGTTCAAACTGAGCATCAGAATGGGGAAGAAAGGGGATTTAAGTGACTTTGAACGTGGCATGGTTGTTGGTGCCAGCAGGGCTGGTCTGAGTATTTCAAAAACTGCTGATCTACTGGGATTTTCACCCACAACCATCTCTAGGGTTTACAGAGAATGGTTCGAAAAAGAGAAAATATCCAGTGAGCGGCAGTTGTATGGACGAAAATGCCTTGTTGATGACAGAGAAGAAGAATGGGCAGACTGGTTTGAGATGATAGAAAGGCAACAGTAACTCAAATAACCACTCATTACAACCAAGGTATGCAGAATACTATATCTGAATGCACAACACGTCAAACCTTGAAGAAGATGGGCTACAGCAGCAGAAAACCGCACCGAGTGCCACTCCTGTCTACTAGAACATGGAAAGTGGAAACTACAATTCACACAGGCTCACCAAAATTAGACAATAGAAGTTTGGAAAAACTTGCCTGGTCTGATGAGTCTCAAATTCAGCTGCAACATTCAGATGGTAGGGTCAGAATTTGGCTTAAACAACATGAAAGCATGGTTCCATCTTGCCTTGTCAACGGTTCAGGCTAGTGGTGGTGGTGTAATGGTGTGGGTAATATTTTCTTGGCACACTTTGGGCCCCTTCGTACCAATTGAGCATTGTTTAAACGTCATGACCTTTCTGAGTATTGTTGCTGACCGTGTCCATCCCTTTATGACTACAGTGTACCCATCTTCTGATGGCTACTTCCAGCAGAATAATGCACCATGTCACAAAGCTCAAATCATCTCAAACTGATTTCTTGAACATGACAATGAGTTTACTGTACTCCAATGGCCTCCACAGCCACCATATCTCGTTCCAATACAGCACCTTTGGGATGTGGTGGAACGGGAGATTCGCATCATGGATGTGCAGCCATCAAATCTGCAGCAATTGCATGAAACTATCATGTTAATACGGATCAAAATCTCTGAGAAATGTTTACAACAACTTGTTGAATCTATGCCACAAAGAATGAAAGCAGTTCTGAAGGCAAAAAGGGGGTCGAACCCAGTACTAGCAAGGTGTACCTAATAAAGTGGCCAGTGAATGTAAATGTGGTCAGGGATGTTGAATCCATATCGCCCGACGCCCGGGACATGTAGTAAGCAAGCAGCAGGGCTCACCTGTCAGGTGGAAGCATTCGGGCTGCAGCGCTGCCACCGATTTCTTCCACACAGTGCCAGCTTCTCCTCCCCCCATGTGAACCTCCCACTGCGTGAAGTCTCCTAGGCTCCGCTTGTCCATCTGCGGGCCTAGGACCAGCTCACCACCATCGGCTAGAGGGGTGGGAAAAGAGCAGACACGTCCCCTCCACTCCCCTTCTTGTCCTGACCCGGAAGTGACGTTATGATGTCACTTTCGGGTCCCTGTTTAGAGTGTGATGTGCACTGCATTACATTCAGAGGAGCACAGGGGAGACATCTGGGGTCTTTTAGACCCCGGATGTCTCAATAAAGAGAACCTGTCTCCAAAAAAAATGTTTTTTTTGTTGCAAAAAATGAAAGCTACACCCAAGCAAATAACATCCCCCACCCCCCCAGAAAAATTGAGGCGCCCTCCACCTGCCCATATACACACGTATAAACGTAAAAGCACACGCTGGGGTGCCTATGCATGAAAATGTTGATTGCGATACACATGTCACATACCGCTAAACACCCCAGAATGACAGCAATAATTCTAGCAGCAGACCTCCTCCGTAACACTGTACTGATGACCTATAAGGAGCTTTAAATGTGTTGCCTATAGAAAATATAGGATACTGAAGTTCACAGCCATTTCACTAGTACGCACAAATTTAAGGTTTGACAAATTTGATATCTATTTACTCAGTGCAACCTCATCTTTTATATTTTACAAAAAAAAATTGTGTAATTTATTGCTTTTATTTGTGCTCTAAAATTAACTTTTTACTGAAATTTTGCGGTAATATCATGCGACATAAAACATTGGAAACTACTACTATTTTATTCTCTAGGGTGTTTGCTTTCAGAAAATATATAATATTTGGGGGTTTTATGTAATCTTCAGGCCTAAAATTATTTTTTAAACTTGTGCAAAAAATGCAAAAAAACGGCTCTGGCAGCGAAAGGGATAAAGGATAAGCCCAATACTCCCCTTTCCTGAGGAGCAGCCAATCAGTGCTCATTACACTGCAAGGACTCTCCCCTCCCTGCTAGTCCCTGGGTACAGTGCTGGAGACAGGCAGGGAGGTGAGGAGGAAATATATAGTGCAATATTAAAAATATTACCGTATTTTTCGCTCCATAAGACGCACTTTTTCCCCCAAAAAAAGGGGGGAAATGTCAGTGCATCTTATGGAGCGAATATAAAGCAGCCGGTCCGGTATTTCCGCTGCCGCCAACATGTCAGAATACCGGGCTGGCCGCTCAGCTCTTCTCTCCTGCAGGACCTTACCTGTTCCTCTGTCCAGCGCTGTAGTCTTCCCGTGCCGGCTTCTGTGACAGCTGGGTGCCCACTGCACATGCACGAGAAGCGCTGCGCTTTGTGAATGGTCCGGCGCATGACAGGTCCCAGAAGGCGCAGGGCCATTCACAAAGCGCCACCCTTCTCGCACGTGCGCAGTGGGCACCCAGCTATCACAGAAGCCGGCGTGGGAAAAAGCCAGCATGCCCACACTAAAGAAAGGACAACTTCAGGTACCCGCTCCCCCTCCCTCCCCAAAGGTCCACAGTCTCTTGGTCATCCCCTGTACTGTCTGCAGTCTCTGGTCATCCCTTGTACTGTCTGCAGTCTCTGGTCATCTGTACTATGTCTGCAGTCCCTGGCATTTTCCCTCTACTATGTCCGCAGTCTCTGGTCATCTGTACTATGTCCGCAGTCTCTGGTCATCTGCACTATGTCCGCAGTCTCTGGTCACCTCCTGTACTACACCATGTTCCAAATTATTATGCAAATTATATTTTTCTCATTTACCTAAATAATTGATGTAAATAACAGTCAGCATAATTCTCATGTTATCAACTATTAAGAGTACAATTCAAATTTTATTGAACAAACCTCCTAATGATAACACTATTTTTTTTTTAAACATAAAACACTTACAATGCACTGTTCCAAATTATTACGCACAGTAAGTTTCAAAACACTTTATAGGTTGTAAAGAACTGGAAATTGTCATTTGTTGTGTTTGCAGCATTTTTACTGAAATCAAAAGCTATTTCAATCAAACTTTTAACAACATTTTAACTTTTTAAACATTTTAACAGGTCACGTTACATTGTAACATAGGACCCCTTATTTGATAGCAGCTTCACAAGTCTTGCATCCATTGAACTTGTGAGTTTTTGGACAGTTTCTGCTTGAATTTGTTTGCAAGATGTCAGAATAGCTCCCAGAGCTGCTGTTTGGATGTAAACTGCCTCCCACCCTCATAGATCTTTTGCTTGAAGGATGCTCCAAGGGTTCTCAATAGGATTGAGGTCAGGGGGAGGATGGAGGCCACACCATGACTTTCTCTGCTTTTATCCCCATAACAGCCATTGATGCAGAGGTATTCTTTGCAGCATGAGATGGTGCATTTTTCATGCATGAAGATGATTTTATTACGAAAAGCATAGTTCTTCCTTCTGTACCAGGGAAGAAAGTGGTCAGTCATAAACTCCACATACTTTGCAGAGGTCATCTTTACACCTTCGGGGGCTCTAAAGGGGCCAACCGCTCTGTTCCCATGATTCCGGCAAAAAACATGACTCCACCACCGCCTTGCTGACATCGCAGCCTTGTTGGAACAGGGTGACCGTCCACCAACCATTCACTACTCTATCCATCTGGACCATCCAGGGTTGCACGGCACTCATCAGTGAACAGGACTGTTTTAAAATTAGTCTTCATGTGCTTTTCTGCCCAATGCAGCCGTTTCTGCTTGTGAGCATTGGTTATTGGTGGCCGAATAGAAGGTTTATGCACAGTTGCAAGACTCTGGAGGACTCTACACCTTGATGTCTGTGGGACTACAGAGGCACCAGCAGCTTCAAATATCTGTTTGCTGCTATGTAATGGTATTTTAGCAGCTGCTCTCTTGATCCGATGCATGGATCTGGCAGAAATCTTCCTCAATGTGCCTTTATCTGCACGAACCCGTCTGTGCTCTGAATCAGCCACAAATCTCTTAGTAGTGCGATGATCACGCTTAAGTTTTCGTGAAATATCTATTGTTTTCATACCTCGTCCAAGGCATTGAACTATTTCACTCTTTTCGGCAGCAGAGAGATCCTTTTTCTTCCCCATATTGCTTGAAAATGGTGCTCTGCTTAATAATGTGGAACACCCTCCTTTAGTAGTTTTTCCTTAAATTGGGCTCACCGGCCAATCTAATTATCACAGGTGTCCGAGATTGTTTTCAGTGATCAAAAGAGCCCTGACACACAATGCCATCCATGAGTTAAACTGAAAAACAAAATATTTCATCTTTGTGACACTTAGAATTGCATAATAATTTGGAACGCGGTGTATGTCCGCAGACTCTGGTCATCTCCTGTACTATGTCCGCAGTCTCTGGTCATTTCCTGTACTGTGTCCGCAGTCTCTGGTCATTCCCTGTACTGTGTCCGCAGTCTCTGGTCATTCCCTCTGTACTGTGTCCGCAGTCTCTGGTCATTCCCTGTACTGTGTCCGCAGTCTCTGGTCATTCCCTGTACTGTGTCCGCAGTCTCTGGTCATTCCCTGTACTGTGTCCGCAGTCTCTGGTCATTCCCTGTACTGTGTCCGCAGTCTCTGGTCATCCCCTGTACTATGTCTGCAGTCTCTGGTCATCCCTGTACTGTGCCTGCAGTCCATTGGTTCAGAATATTTTCTCTGCAACTTTAAGCAGGGGTATGGATTTTAGGAAGCTGCCTGGGCACTGAGCCCAGCCCCGCACTGAGATATCCAGCAGTATGCTTTGGAACAATTTCTTTTGTTGATTGCTACTTTTTCCAAACAAAACATTTCTCCTTTTCTTCAGAAAGTTCCAGTTTCAACTCAAAATAATCTTTTGGAATTAGAAGTGACATATATGGTATTGAAATGATGAGTTCATTTTGCCAAACAATATATTTTTCTTTGTGTATAATAGCTCCTGTTCAGTGTTCACCTTCTGAGGCCTGGCTTTAGGTCAGCCATTCTCAACCAAGGTTTCCATGAACACTAGGATTCCTCCAGAGATTCTTAGGGGTTTCCTTGAGCTGTGGTTGATTGATCTCCTATCTGGTGCCTGCAAAGTTCTGGTGCCAAAACAATTTGGCACAGACAACAGCATGGCACCAATGATTCTTTTAGTTCTCTGTAAAGCCGGCCATACATGGGTCGAATTCTGAAAATAATTTTCTTGCAAAAATCTTTTCTAAGAATTTTTGTTCGCATTTCGCACCAGTAGTGGGCCAAAGCAACAACCGATTTTCGAGCGACCATCGAATTTGAGTAAACGGGCATGTTGTAAATTTCTTTGTTTTGAAAAACAAATTTCAATCAATGAGAATCGTGCAAAAAAAATGAAATCGAAAAAGAAATGAGCATGAGCTATGACCTGGAAAGAAAAGAAAAATCTTGGCCACAAAAATTCTATTCTGTAGCAACACAAGGTGAAATTAAAGGCTTGGTTGGTTGAATTTCAAAATCATTGGTGGCACCATCGGATTACAAAATGCACGAAAATTCCGATTTTCTAAAGAAAATTTGTTCGGAATTCGACCTGTGTATGCTCTGCATAAGGGTTGCATTCTGACCACCAATGTCCTGACCAATCATGGAAGGAGCAATCTTCACATTGACCCCAAATAAATGTATTTTAGCTGAGGTTCCATGAGATTTAAAAGTTATTTCAAAGGTTCCTCTGGTGTGTGAGTGTTCAGATCTTTGGCTACAGATGGGGAGTCTGCGCAACAGGTTTGACTAGAGTCTAGGGATATGACATTCACATGAACAGTCATTGTGTACAGTAATTATTGTCTCTTTCCCTGTTTTGTTGATTCAGTTTTAGCAGATGTACAGTTAGGGCCTGTTCACACCTAAACCTAAAAGTCTGTTGCGGTCTGTTATGGCACACCTTGACGTGTGTTGGGTTAAGGTAACCCAGTCATTATGAATGGGCTGTCAATGCACCACAACAGATGAGAAACCTGAACAGCCCATTTTTACCCTTTGATAACTGAGTGTAAAACAAATCCGAATCCAGTATTTGGCATGTGTTAGTAAAACTGGACATATCAAATACTGCAGCTGAATAATACATTGTTTATTTGAGAACAAATTGGGCCTTTGTTTGGTAATAAATGGTAATGGATATCTCCTGATTTTTAATTTTGTTATCAATAGAAAACTGGCCCAAAAAAGTAAAAAATATTTTTTTCATTTAGCTGTAAATTTCTTGTCATTACTATGACCCACCAGCAAAAATAATCCTGAAATAAAGTCTCCTACTCCTAATGTTTGTGGCAATACCACATATGTTTAGTTGTTTGTACCCGTAGCAAAGCCCAGAAACAATAGTATGCATTTTGGATTTATTTTCCTATCTAAACTCACACTAAATTAAAACTTTTTTTTAATACTACCTAATACACTTTGACCCCAACAGAGACCTTTTACCCTGTCTGTGACCTTCGACCATGGCCTTGACCAGGGGTGGGCAAACTTTTTGACTTGAGGGCCGCAATGGGTTCATATATTGGACCCGGGGGCCGGACCAAGAGTAGATGAATGATGTATGTGTCATCCATAGTAAGTATAGTAATATTCCCCCATAGTAAGCATAGTAATTCATCCCCCATAGTAATTCATCCCCCATATAGTAATTCATCCCCCATATAGTAATTCGTCCCCCATATAGTAATTCATCCCCCATATAGTAATTCATCCCCCATAGTAATTAATCCCCCATAGTAATTCATCCCCCATATATTATTATTATTCATATTATTATTATTATACAGTATTTATAAAGCGCCAATAGTTCGCTCAGCGCTGTACATTACAAAGGGGACAGAACATGTGACAGAACAATACCAATACAATGTGATACACGAGGGGTTCGAGGGCCCTGCTCTTTCGAGCTTACAATCTAGGAGGGAGGGGGTGGTGGCACAGGAGGAGATAGCTGTGGGGGATGGAGTGGTAGGAAGAGTGGAGGAGGTTGGCATATAGTAATTCATCCCCCATATAGTAATTCATCCCCCCTATAGTAATTCATCCCCCATATAGTAATTCATCCCCCATATAGTAATTCATCCCCCATAGTAATTCATCCCCCATATAGTAATTCATCCCCCCTATAGTAATTCATCCCCCATATAGTAATTCATCCCCCCTATATTAAAGTCCCCCCATAGTCCCCATATTAAGTCCCCCCTGTGTCAATTCACTTACCTTTGCTCCGCGCGTTCCTCTCGCCGTGTTCCCGCGCCGTTTCGGTGTAGCATGAAAATCTGTCTCCTATGAGGATCTGTCCCCCTCGACGTATCTGCGCATGTGCCAGTTTCAGGCATTAGCAGCCGACCGGCGATCTCCGGCACATGCGCAGATACGTCGAGGGGGACAGATCCTCATAGGAGACAGATTTTCATGCTACACCGGTCTTCAGGGTGGACTGTGAGAGGAGCCTAGCGGGAGCCTAGCTCCGCAGGCCGGATTAAAAGGTCCGCCGGGCCGTAGTTTGCCCATTGCTGGCCTTGACCCTGACACTAACCTAGATCAAGCCCTGATCTAGCAATTTCTTCTTTATTTTTTTGTTGTGGTTTTTACTTTCGTCTCCCCTGTGTAGGATATAAGTCCTCATGCACACTGGACATTTTTACAGCGGCTGTTTTGGCTTTTTACATTTTTTTCTACAGCTAGTCAACCCTCCATGCACACATAGACTGTAATCAACGTTTTTTGGCTGGAAAAAAAAAATCCAGAACTAGTGGGTTTCTAGAGGAGCTTTTTAGCTGTAAAAATGCTCGAAGACTGAAAAATGCAGCAAAACGCTTTAAAATGCCGCAAACCAGCGTTTTTGGACTTTTTTTGAGCAAAAAAAAAGCAAACACGGGAAAACGCAGCTAAAAGCTAATGCAAAAAATGCTTTAAAAAGCTTAAACACTCACGTTTTTAACGCGACTTTACACAGCTAATATTAACAGTGTTAATTAAACACCCAGTGTGCATGGAGCCTAAAGATGCAATGTGGGGAATAAACAAAGAGTGATGCAAGCATAAAGCTTTCAACCATTATTCTATACTGAAAAAGCCAAGCAGATGCTGTTCCTAATTAATAAACAGGGCGCAAGCCCATCTGTTTGTTAGGAATGATCTGTACTGTTTTCTATGCCATGTCTGTGTCTGACATGGCATACAGTTCAGGAGAGCCTAGCAACAGTTTTCTGCTTTAGCTCCCTTTACCCTAAACTGTCCGCTTACCCAGCCAAGAGCGAGAGGGAGGAGGAAAGCTGTTCAACATGCCTTTCACAGGCATATCATTAGAAGGAAAAACTCATACAGTGTAAACACTGCACAGGCAGGAACGTGAGCTGTCAGTAGACAGGACACGTCATACTCCAGACCCAACTTGGCAAGGACGTACAAAAGTTTTGCATACTGAAAACTTCTGCAAGTTACCTTGTTAATTAGTCTCAGTTAGTCTTAGAACCCACATCATTTTTCATTTAACGCTAAAACTGGTGCGGATAGTCAAGAGAGACCTAAAACAGGTCTATTTGTAAATGTGACACACACCACTCTAGACAGATTCCTGCACAAGTTTTCTTTGTAGTAAGCTTTGTTAAATCCCCAGAATGTATCTATTTCTCCATTCAGAGGAGAAAGACACTACAAAGATGGATTTTGTTGAGTTATCGCTGTCACGGTGATCTTGTCATTGAAAGCTAGTCCCGGCTTCAGACCCTTAGTACGAGACCAGGAGCTATCAGAGACAGCTTAGTCTCTGTGCTGGTGCCACCATAGCCACTTTTAAGCCACCATACTAAAAGTGTTTTATTCATGACTTCTAATGGTCAGAAACATTCCCGTCTATAAAGTCAAGTAAGAGCTCTGGCCTAAACCAAAAATGCGCATATTTTTAATTAGATCTCTAAATATACTGCTCAAAAAAAGTAAAGGAACACTTTGAAAACACATCAGATCTCAATGGGGAAAAAATATCATGCTGGATATCTATACTGATATGTACTGGGTAATATGTTCTGCACATAAGGATGCCCCATCGTTGGATGGAAATGAAAATTATCAACCTACAGAGGACTAAAATCAAAGTGAAAAAATGATGCAGCAGGCTAGTCCAGTTTGCTGAAATTTCATTGCAGCAACTCAGAATGGTACTCAGTAGTTCGTATGGCCCCCACATGCTTGTATACATGCCTGACAATGTCAGGGCATGCTCCTAATGAGACGACAGATGGTGTCCTGGGGTATTTCCTTCCAGATCTGCAACAGGGCATCACTGAGCTCCTGGACAGTTTGAGGTGTAACCTGGTTGCTTCGGATGGACCAAAACATGATATCCCAGAGGTGTTCTATTGGATTTAGGTCAGGCAAGCGTGGGGGCCATTCAATGGTATCAATTCCTTCATCTTCCAGGAACTGCCTGCATACTCTCACCACATGCATCTGGAGGAACCCAGGACCCACTGCACCAGCTTAGGGTCTGACAATGGGTCCAAGAATTTCATCCTGATACCTAATGGCAGTCAGGGTG